GTTTATTGCATTTGATGATTTAAAATGCTTTGCAACATAACCTATTTATACTAAATGATAAACTAACAAAGCTTGCTAAAAATTAGGCACTAATCACTAATGCTCCATGTTCTGCTCCAGTGCTCCACGTTCTCCACATCCACACACCTCATGTATTTGCTTTCTAAATTCTAACAACATTGGTTTAATAATTATAATAATAATATTATTATTATAACACTTTTCATGCTCATTTTGGGATTTGAGTTTAACACCCCCCCTCCCCTCGCCCCTGCACGCGAGAGAGAGCATCTATGCTATAAAATTTAATAAGCCTTAGAAAGGCTCTTGTATATATAGTAGTGCAAACTCACTTCTCAAACCAATGCGGGATAAAAGCTTCTTTAAAGCTTTTCCACCTTCATTTTTCAACTCAAATGGGTCTACTTTGAGTGTACAATATATCAATCTCTTCGTCTCACTATGAAGAACCCGAATCCACTTTGACCCGATCCAAATCGTAAGTGGAACCCACAAATAGTTGTACCACAAAATAACCACTTTAAATGCCATTAATCATGTTATTTTTCCAACAATCACCACATGAATGAAAAATTGATTTTCGGGGTGTTTTAAAACAGAAACAATTGTGTTCAACAATCAATCCCTACATAGGATAGGTAGGTGTTACCCTTTGAACCTTCCCTTGTGAAGATATATTTACTCTGATCTACTGGCTGTACGATAGAACACGATATCTTTGAACCGACTGTCGTTTGTGTAGACGATGATATATCCCACGTAGGAACCTCCCAACCACGCTCTCTTCTCATGATTGTGCCCATTTTGGTCGTGGGTCACCTTTCCTGGTTCTGCAAGAGTTTCTAAATTAAGAATTGAGCCCCTATTCAATTATCCTTTGAAGCGACCCTCACTTCTCTCTCACATAGGTGATTCTTTACCGAGTATCCTGCATACTCACACATGTCAACCGACATTTCAAATCATTAAAACATCAACATGCTAACCTCGTACGAGAGTCATTGTTCTAACGAGGAGTGGTAAGGAGTCCAAGAAACCCATAGTGACACAGTTCGTTCCATACTTTAGTTGTCCCATTGAACTTAGGTGCCCGCTAGGTTGGGTATCCACTATAGAACTTTATTTCAAGGGCTTTAGACCCATTCCTCGTGTCAACTTCTCTACAACTTCTTTGCCTAACCCTTTGGTTAGTGGATCTGCTATATTGTCTTTTGCCTTTACGTAGTCAACCGAGACAACACATGTTATGAGAAGTTGTCTAATGGTATTTATGTCTACGGCGTATATGTCTGGACTTACCATTATACATATGACTCCATACTCTTCCAATTGTGGCTTGCCTATCTCAATGCACACATATTGGAGGTACATGTCTTTCCCAACTAAGAATATCCTCAAGACAATGCCTTAGCCATTCAGCCTCTTCGCAACATTTGTCTAAGGATATCATCTCAGATTCCCTCGTGGATCTGGCTATCACGGTTTGCTTTGAAGATTTCCATGTAAGGGCTGCACTAACTAACATGCACACGTAGCCACTTGTGGACTTGGAGTTCTTAATATCCGATATCCAGTTAGCGTCATAGTGTAGTCCAAAGTCACGAGTATACCTTAAGTATCTCATAACATTAACTATTGCCTTCCAATGCATAGCACCAGGGTAACTCGTATATCTAATGAGTTTACTAACCGCAAAGACAATATCCGGCCTAGTATAGCTCATTAGATACATCAAATTACCAATAACCCGAGCATATTGTACTTGAGAAATACACTCTCCGTGGTTCTTGGTTAGATGAACGTTTGTATCAAATGGTGTCTTATCCAATTGATCATCATCCTTATTAAATTTTGCAAGGATTTTATCAATATAATGAGATTGGCTCAACACTAGACAATCAAGTCTTCTAATGATTTTAACCCCGAGGATCAAATAAGTCAAATCCATATCTTTCGTGTCAAACCTCGCATTTAACATGTTTTTGGTAGACTTGGTCATTCAATCATTACTACCAACGATGAGTATGTCATCTACGTATAAACAAAGAATGGCATACCCGTCTATCGTTTCCTTAACGTATACACACTTGTCACTCTCATTTATTTTGAACCCATTGGTTAACATCACATGGCCAAACTTCTCGTGTCATTGCTTAGGAGCTTGTTTTAAACCATATAATGATTTAACCAACCTACACACTTTCTTTTTTTGGCCAGGAACAATATATAAATTTCCTCATCTAACTCGTCATTTAAGAAAGAGGTTTTCATACATCCATTTGATAAACATCCAAATTCCGCAATGCAGTTATGGCAAGTATCATCCTTATGGAATTTATTCTCATCACGGGAGAATACGTGTCGAAGTAACCAAGCCCCTTGCGTTGCTTGTAATCCTTAATTACAAGTGTAGAATTATACTTCTCAATGGAACTGAAATTGTGTCGTGAATCTTGAATTCAATTACAACTTAATGTTCTACTTGTTTTTAGAAAAGATATTACCTTATCAATTAATTTGGTTATTTAACGAACATATATAAATAATGAAATAGAAAGGCATAAAAAATAAAACAAGTACTCAAGAATTGATCACACATTTTGGAGCACTTCTCCTACGTCTGCGGGGCAACACACGTCTGCCCAATCCACTAGATGTTCACCAAGGTGTTTACAAAGAGTTTGTACATAACATCACAACCACTACAACCTTCTTAACATCTAATCAGAATTGGTACGTGCATGCCCTTGAGAACTTCAAATGATCTACGCTGGAGCAGTCACTTAGCCTGATATAGTATTAATATTGCAGCACCTTCTCAACACAATATAGATAATAGCAAAGTGGAAAGTTTCCTTAATCAATTTAGCATGTAGACTGTGCAACCTGTGAATGTAAGCTTTCCTTTTTATTGTAAATGTCTTCAACCACTTTCCATTTTGAATGCCACACGCAAAGTCAGTTAACCACACTTTGCTTTGATTGATTCTTCACCACTCATTCTTTTCAAACTCAAGTAATCTCACTCCACACATAATAATTCATCCTTTGGAAAATGGATTCCCCTAAAATCCTTTTGATCAAGTAACTTTAGTCTTGATAGGAGTTGGTCCATACTAGACACAAAATAATAAATAATCTAATTCATTTGTCAAATAAATTTAGCCAACATATTATAGGGTTTAATGTGTATTAAATTATACACTTAAAGGAACCATCTAGTTTCATCTTCCTTTTAAAGACCCACTTGGATCCTAAGGTTTAGAATAGTTATGTTGTGCATCCGTATGCACCATGCATGGTGCATACGGATGCAAAAACGATGTCGTTTTATTAAAAACGCGCATCCCACTGGAAAAAAAAATCAGTTTCGATTCCCCTCATCAATAGCAATATGTTGTTCATTCATTTTGGCATTTTAGTTCATAGATTCTGGAATTTTAGTTCATAGATTCTGAAATTTTAGTTAATAGATTCTGGATTTTTAGTTCATTGATTCTGGATTTTTAGTTCATCGATTCTGGAATTTTAGTTCATCGATTCTGGAATTTTAGTTCATAGATTTTGGAATTTTAGTTCATCGATTCTGAATTTTAGTTCATTAATTTTGGATATATAGTTCAAATTATGCACAATATAATGTTGTTGCTGGGAATCGAAACTGATTTTTTTTTTTTTAAAGTGAGACATGCGTTTTTAATAAAACGACGTCGTTTTTGCATCCGTATGCACCATGCATGGTGCATACGAATGCACAACATAATTTGCCTAACGTTTACTACCTGGAGGAAGATCAACCAGTTCACATGTGTGATTCTGCCATATTAAATCCATGACTTTTATTTGATTGTCACCATTAGTCTTCCGTTAATTTACCATTATAATTGAAATAATAAAAGAAAAATATCCTTACACATATCGTAACTCATATTTCAAACACATTATAAAAATATTATAAATATCAAATGATGTAATATCGTAACTCATAGAAATATGAGTTATGATATGTGTAAGGATTTTTTCATTTGTTATATGTCAATTTAAGGATGATATCACTATGTTTCAATATCGTAACTCATATTTCGAACATCGATCTTTCTATGAGTTTACATCCTTTTATATTTACGATATGTTTTAATGTGTTCGAAATATGAGTTATGATATTGAAACACAATAATATCCTTAAATTGACAAATAACAAAGAAAAAATCATTACTCATATCGTAACTCATATTTCTATGAGTTACAATATCACATCCTTTTATTTACGATATTTCTAATGTGTTCGAAATATGAGTTATGATATGTGTAAGAATTTTCCCTTTGTTATTTGTCAATTCGGTAAATTAATGGAATTTTTAACGAAAGATCATGTGATGAAGTCTAGCCACTAAAACAAACCTCATTTTTAAACTCTAGATCACCTTGTAGAGAATTTCCAGACAGTCTCTTCATAGCAATTTCTATCCCATCCGTTAGTTGACCCTAAGTTATGTTGGAAAATACGTTCAAATTTGAACGCAAACCTCATGTCCTAATTTTGTGGATCCACGTGCCTCTTAAAAGGTTTCCAGTCCGCACGTTGACGTTGCTAATATTCTCCAACAGTTAAAAGCGTTATTTGCCCGGTAACGGTACAGTTAGAACCCTGGCACGCTTTCGACAGGCTACACAGACCTACTACGAATAGCTTGCACTAGCAACCACGTAGGTGAACCTGACTATATATTTGCCCACACAATTATGTGAACATGGGAATGGAAAAATTGTTGGAAAATACGTTCAAATTTGAACGCAAACCCCTCATGTCCTAATTTTGTGGATCCACGTGCCTCTTAAAAGGTCTCCAGCCCGCGCGTTGACGTTGCTAATATTCTCCAACAAGTTATTCAAATGAGAACCACCCTTTAAGTGAAAATGTAAGAACCAACCTAAATACACATAATTTATAACATAAATACACACAATCTATCACAATAAACACAAAGAGCTCAACTAGCTAGCTCATAATTCTATAATAATTAATTGTAGTCTTAATTTTATTTATTCAACAAAATAAGGCAAGGACAAAGCTTGGTAGCTTGCTTATTACATAACACATACATATACACTGTATTATTAGGCCTTCTTAAACACAACCCTCAATGGCTTATCAGTGATTGCAAGAATTCTTATTCCATCCACAACTAAAATTCCAAGGTCCCCACACACTGGCCTGCAAATATCACACACTGTTGGGCAGTAATAGAGCTTGTAGGCATCTTCATCTCTTCGAACTTTGAACCAGTTGCTTATTGTGTCCCTCCCCGGGTTGCCTTCTTCTCCGCCTGTTCCCACCACATATTTGCCTGTGATTTCTTTCAAATCTAGCCTCCACAGAGTGGACATAACACATATGCTCACTGCAGAGAATTTGATGTTGTGATCCACTGATTCCTGAGGGCCCGCCAACATATTGTTATTAGAAATTACTATTAGAGATTTTTATAACATAAAATTTAGTTTGTTGAGATTTTGACTATATATTTAGATTTGGAAAATTTCATTTTTAAGCGTTTAAGTTATATCCGTGGTACAAATTTAGTCCATGAGTTATATATGTGACTATCTTAACCCTTAAATTATTGATGAAGTGGCGATTTTAATCCCTTGGGGACTATTTTCACCACAAATTTGTCACTTAATAAAGTGGCTGATTTGTTCCTTCAAGGACTAAAATCGCTACTCCATGCATAACTTAGGGATTAGAGATGATCACGCATATAACTTAGGGACTAAATATGTACCATAGGTATAACTAGAGGAACAAAAATACAATTTTCCCATTTAGATTTATTTGTCATAATAAGCCATATATATATATATATATATATATATATATATATAGAGAGAGAGAGAGAGAGAGAGAGAGAGAGGGGTACATACACTTAAAATTCGCTATGATCAAACACAAATTAAACCAACATAGTATATATTCTAGTATATGGTATACCTGAACATTGGTGGAGGAAGGATTAACTGATGAAAATTGGACAGCAAAGCCATTGGAAGAAGAGTCAGGAGACTGGACTACCAGCAGCGGGCAAGTGGTGTTTGGGCCGCTGGCTAGCGTCAGTCCCCCGCCGCCTTCGGTGTTCCCGTCAGCCGCCGCCGGCAGTATGTAATAGTCCACTCCGGTGAGGACTTCCTGGCCGGAACTGTCCTTCACCACGTTAGCCATAATTTGTGCTTCAATGCACAAAAGTTTTATGGACTGGGCTATGAGAAATAAAAGGAAAAATACTTTTTCCATCTTCATTTTCTAATAAAAACAATTGCTGATTTTTTTATGTTTGGTATGTGCATCATCCCAGGATCGTACGACCTCAACTATATATAGAACTAATTCCTTGTGTATCCAATTTTCTTAAAAAAAAAAAAAAAAAAAAAGAAGGAATAAGGTTCAAATTGGCCACTGAACGTAACTTGAAAATGCAAATAGGTCACTGAACGGAAAAAAAAAAAAAGTACAATTAAGCCACTGAATACTCCAAAAGCGTGCAGTTAGGCCACTGAACACTGCAAATGTATGCAATTTCACCAGATAGTAGGTTACCATCAATTTTAGCAGGTTACCTGCTTATGTGGTAGCTGAGTTGGCATTTTTAATAATTTTTAAATACTTTTTAATCAATTTTAATAATAAATTTTAATAATTACCTTGAAAAAAAAGTTGAAAAAAATTAAATAAAAAAAAAAGGCAGCCACCCCGTCGTTTTATTTTATTTTAATTTGTTTAGTTTTTTTTTTTTTAAATTATTATTAAAATTATTTAAAAATTATTAAAAATGCTAACTCAGCTGCCACGTAAGCAGGTAACTCGCTAAAATTGATGGTAACCTGCTATCAGGTGAAATTGCATACATTTGGAGTGTTCAGTGGCCTAATTGCACTTTTTTTTTTTCGTTCAGTGGCCTAATTGCATTTTCAGGTTACGTTCAGTGGCCAATTTAAACCTTATTCCAAAAAAAAAAAAAAAACTTTTACTTTTCAATCTCTAAGTTATATGGTATAAAGTTCATCCCTACTTGTTGATCGTGCTAATTTCTTATTTTTAAGTTATAATTGACGTTATAAATATGACTGACATTGTAAATTTTGTCATTTTTCTAACAAAATATTAGTAACGAAATTTGCAACGTCAATATGAGAAGTGAGTACGATTAACTGTAGGGACGAATCTTACCATTATTCCATAATGTAGGTACGAAAACCTCCCTTTGACGTTTTTGCTTTTTCTAAATATTAGATCCTAGTTTCAATTCTAAGTTTTTGAAAAAAAATAAAATAAAATTGTTTGAAGTGATGAAGTGTGAAACGAAGTGGTCAACTGCATGCATAATCGCACGTGTGTTTTCGTAGTTACGTGAAGTGTAAACAACAACAACTATTAGTCTTAGGGCATGGCGTGCCAAATTAAAGATTATTAAAATTGTTGACTTTTATACAAAATGTTCGTGCATTATGTATGTAAAATTTAAATTTTGATCTGACTTTCTGTTATTGTACTATTTTCCGTGTTTTTTTGTAGTGTTACTTGTATTAATTGAAAAAAAAAAAAAAAAAAAAAGCAAACTAACTCTAATAATCAATTATCATATCAAAAAATTAAAAAATAAAATGAAAATACTGTATTTTTTTAAAAAAATAAAATAAAGAAGCTAATTAATTAATTATAAGTTGAAACGTTACAATAAAGATCGAGCAGACTGTTTCACAAATTTGAAGCTGAATTCTTTGGAGGAATTTAAAACTTCTTTAATGATTTGGTCAAACGTACCAAAGACTGACACTGGTTAAATAGTCTTGTACACCACCGCAAATTATGCCATTAAATCGTGTTCACTGAGAATGGTGTACACAAGGCAAAACGACGTCGTTTTTAGGCAAAAAAAAAATTTCGTGGATGTGGAGTTAACGGCGCGCGTTTGATCAAATTATGAATTTTCTGTTATGAGATTATGAATTTTATGAAAATTCATAATCTCATAACAGAAAATTCATAATCGCATAACAGAAAATTCATAATCTCACAACTGAAAATTCATAATCTCATAACAGAAAATTCATAATCTTATAACAGAAAATTCATAATCTCATGGTTCCAAAGTGAATATGTAGGCATGGTTCCAAAGTGAATGTGCAGGCATGGATTCATAATTTATGAATGTCCGTGATTTCGGACGGGAATATGTAGGCATGGTTCCAAAGTGAATGTGCAGGCATGAATTCATAATTTATGAATGTCCGAAATTATGAATGTAATAAAAATTCATAATCTCATAACAGAAAATTCATAATCGCATAACAGAAAATTCATAATCTCATAACTGAAAATTCATAATATCATAACAGAAAATTCATAATCTCATGGTTCCAAAGTGAATGTGTAGGCATGGTTCCAAAGTGAATGTGCAGACATGGATTCATAATTTATGAATGTCCGTGATTTCGAACGGGAATGTGTAGGCATGGTTCCAAAGTGAATGTGCAGGCATGAATTCATAATTTATGAATGTCCGAAATCTTTGTTTACCTCAAATTAAAGTGAAACCGCAAAATGTGAAAATAAAGAATAGAAGTCACGCAATTAATTAAGAAAAAAAAAAAAAAGATAACGGTGTACTAACACCGTTGGAACCGTGTTCACCATGAATGGTGAACACGGTTCCATGGCATAACGTCCCGTACACCACCTGACAGGCCAGTCCCTGGGCATGTCTGCCCAGGGCCATTGCACAGGGGCCCCAATTTTTTTTTTTTTTAAAAATTACGTATACAGTATATATTTGATCAGCCGTTAGCGCGAAATTCGAACCCTATTATCTAATTATCCTAAGCGTAGCGGCGTAGCTCCGTAGTTCGAATATTCGATCAGCGGCTTCAGCACAAGGACGCAAGGTAATTGTCTAATTTACATTCAATGAATTTGAGTAATTTGCATTCAATGAATTTGAGTAATTTGACTCAAACCTAGTGAATTAGTGATTAGTAAATCTCAAGAGGCCAACCTCACAAACAGCAGACGACATAAACTCAGCTTCGATTCTTCTATTCTTCTTGATCGTTCTTCGATTCTTTTAACAGGTAATTAAAATTACGTATTATTTTATATTTATTGTTATATTTATATGACTTAATAATTCTGATTTTAGAATAATATATTCAACAATTTATTTCTTGATTAATTATTTATTCATTGAGTTTCTAAATAAATTTTTATTTTCACTAGTGGAATTTATGGAATTTCTGACCACCTAAAAATGATCTTAAATTAAGTCGAGAGCCTTGTTCTGACCACTTTTGGTATCCGGAAAAACCTTTGTTGCTATTTCCGACTACTTTTTGGTATTAATTTGATTTAAGATCACTTTCAGGTGGTCGGAAATTCAATAATTTTTAGTAGTGTTTTTTCCTTAAGATTTTATAATTATGTCTTCTAAAAAATATTTATTCGGATTTGATAAGAAAAAGAAAAAGAAGAATTGAGCAACTAACTCAATCTCAATAGGCAGCTCTCGAAGAATTTATTACAAAAGAAACTCTAAATTGTTAGATGCTAATCTTCATATAAAAGATCAAGATGATTGTGAGTTTGGAAAAAATTTAAATGATAGCGTGCACAATGATGATATGTATCACTGTGACGATGAAAATAATAAGAATGTTGATAGTTGTTTAGATAATGCTGGTCAAAAGGATAAACCAAATAATTCGCTTTTATTTGACATATATGTTCCAAGAAATTGGGATGCCCTTCATTCTAAATTAATAGATACTATTGTGAAAGATAGATCCTAAAAGAGATTTATCAATAAATAAAGGTCATAAAGATAAACTCTAAAGAAGATTTTCATCAGCATTTTACACAAGATATTTGTCAAATGGAGAGAAGTGTGATTGAAATTGGCTTGTATATTTTGTTTTTGTTGCAAGATTTTTAAAAAGGTATACGAAAATGTGTTTTGGTCAATGAAGGTTTTAGGGACTGGACACATCGTGGTGTTAGACTTAAAGAGCATATATGAAATGAGTGTAGATCATATGACTAATATGACAACTTGGATGAAGTTGCGTTTTAGATTACTTGAAAAAAGGGGGCCCAAATTAAAATACTGCACAGGACCCCAATATTTATTAGAATGGCCCTGCCACCTGAGTATCTATTTCCATTCTTCTATTCATTGACAATATCTCCATCGGGCTGAACTGGATATCATAGTTCAGAGGAGTCTCTTTTTCATTGTCATGTTTATCACTCAGGATGAGATTCACATACGCCATGACCAATTTTATCGTTTCATTCTTTATGAAAAAGAACTCGCCAAGTAATTAAACGAGAGGAAGAAATTCGTCAAAACAACGAGAGGAAAAACACCTGTAAACAAAATTAAATCAGTAAAACAAAGCAAAGGAAAACAACAGTGCAAAAATAAGGGAGTAACGACCAGTAGCGGTGGAGATGGAGAAGAAAACGGTGAAGGCGGATGATGTCTGAAGTGGAGATGGCAGCAGGGAAAGACGATCGGACACCGGCTTCGATCCGCTTGCTTCACAGAGGCGGCGGCCGTATAGAATACCATAATTGCAATAATATTGAAAATACTATAATATAACTCAAAGTTTAAAAAACGCATGCAACATATAAAGTAAAATATTTATTGATTTATGTTCAAGTGAGGACACCATTTTTCATGAAGACGTGAGGACTAGTCTAGATCATTTATTTCTGTTGATCCAATTGTTTTTTTTTTCCTTTTTCTATTCTCTCTTTTATTTAAGAAGGGTATTTTCGACAATCTATATGAATTTTTAATTTTAAATATTATATTTTTGGTAAGTTATGCATATTTTTAGGATGAATTCAAGGTAGCTTTGAATTCTTTTCTTATTTGTCATTGGAGCAATATCACGTTGAAGTGGTATCTCCTTCCACAAGAAGATTATCTGACACAATTGCTAGAGGGTTGGTCTCCTGTTCCGGGGGTTATTCCTCCCCAATCCGTCCTAGGTTGTTGGGACCTTCGTCATGTTCGGCGCCATTAACGTTGTTGGCATTAAAAGAGGATCTGACCAGGACCAGGGTGTTAAAATCCTAGCGAGTTCATGCTGGTAATCTTCGACGGCGTGCCTTTTGTGCTAGCGACAGAGAGATACGATGAGGATCTGAGGGGCCAACGGGCCCGGGGCACCTCACCCGCCGAAGTGCTCCGCGCCGCCCGGCGCCCTTGGTCAACAATCCAAGTTGTGGCGCCGGCCGACCACCCCTC